AGCAGGACCACCATCTCAGAGGCTATGGCTGAGAATTGTTCAGTGGTCGTTATTCTTGCTGTGGCTCCCGCTATTTTCACTATGTTGCTACCAGTGTGGGCAGCTGCGTGATAAAGCCGGGCAACGTGTGCGGGACAATAGTGACGTTGGACGGCCACTTTCAGGCGGAGGATTTGAAGTGCGCTAACACAATGTCGACCACTAAAACATGATTTTATTTCAAAATAAGCACTTCCTTGGCACAAAAGTAGCACTGCCAGATTTCTGCACCACTATCTCAGCAATCAACATTGACTAAATATTTGCCTTCAGTGTCCCTTTAATCAATGCAAATCAATAAAATAATTAATTACAATTGATTCCTAAAACTCGCACATAACAATGTGTTACTTCAATTTCTTTCTTGGAATATAATACTGAATATTGAGTGCCTTGGGGTTATGCTATGTGAATTTGAAACATTTGAAGACAGTAAATCATAATTTGTGCCTGAAGAGTAAAATTTAGAAAGAGTTTCTCTTTTTTCTTTACATGACCCGTTATCAAGAGGCCTCTTGCTCTTGTGAAAACAAAGCAAGATGTTAGTTTTTTTATAATGAAAATTTATGCTGAAATGTCTGCTTGTGTTTCTGTTACAGAAAGGTTCACTAATATATGGTGAAATGTCAAAAGACATTCATTTACTGCCAGTAAATGTCAATCCCTGGAGGCTAGACAGTCATGCTAGCAGGATCAAAAACTTTGTGGCCTTTTGTAAAAACTGGTTGTCATGCAACAAAACTGTGGTTGGACAACCATTGTGGGAGCAGTATGAAGAATGAGCTCCTAGAAGCACCGAGTGGCCAGCTGTATAGAGCCAACGATTATAAATTTATGCGACAAAGACACAAAACACTGACGATGACCACCGTCACTTTTCTGGCTTCTTTATCATCATTGTTCCATGTCTTTTCACCGAGCCATTTCATAATCATAAGCCCTTACCAACTAACCCAGCTATCACTGCAACTGTGCAAACTCATCAGTAGGGTACCACTTTCGAAATTCTCAACATCTTTACTCTGGCATCATCTTAATAGCCAGCCTGCCTCACTTGCCATATATTTTCATTATTTAGGCGGATCAGGCCATACTTGAATGAAGTTTTATTATTGTCATGATACTTGGTAATCATAAGCAATCTTCATACAATTATAGTTTAAAGCTCATAAATGTGCCTTTGCAGCTTTTTTTTAAAATTTTGCATTTCATGTTCTTACTACTTAAACGTTCCCATTCACCAATATTATACTCTATTTTTCATTAAAAGCTCTGTTGTGTAAACTTTAGCAGCATAACACACACACAAAAACAAAATACACAAGACAGGCACTGTCCCATCTCTTTCTTTGTGCCTTTTTTCGATTGAGGCTGTTCCATCACACATATGGACGATTTACAACAGTAGCGTACCAACTCTTTCACGAGTTGGGGGGGGGGGGGGGGGGGCAAACCTACCTCACTCGTCAGCTAGGATATATATATATATATATATATATATATACATGTACACACACACACTCGCACTTTAAAATGAATTTGCATACACAGAGGTGACCCGACAAGCATACTTAAATACCACAAAGTTCAATATGGCGCCCCCAGCCCAATTTTCGCGTCCAATATACGATGCTCATCTTGCTATCACGCCTCTTTCCCTGATTATGCTCTGGTCGTTAATATCTATAGATACCACAGTAGTTTAATAAACTTATCATGGATGTTATTAGTCGGGATGATGTACCAAGCGTTAACGAGGTACATTCATGTTAAACGGTGCTATAGCTGCCACACACCAAAACATACATTCGACAAACCCTCCTTTATCAATGTACATTAAACATTTGATTACCCTGTAAAGGCGCGTTTTATTCTCGTGTTATATGCAAATTCCTGTGACAAAGGGATGAACCATGTTTTTCCAAAGAAATGAATGCTGTTATATTTTCCATAAGTATTATACTTTCTTGCATATATTCAGGTATGCATGCATTATAATTTGTCTTATTACCTAATAGCCTGAATACTGTGTCTGGAGTGTACAATTATTAATAATATTGCTTTGTATTGTTTTATTACTAATCTTAAGTTATTACCAACTTCTAAACGCTTTTTTTTAATGTATAATTTGTGGTATTGGGGGTGTAGTACATTGTTTACATTCATTACATTTGTATCAACATTTCTTAACGAGGCCCCAAGTGCATGCATAAGTACACCAATATAAACAGTGTAAATAGAATTTTTTTTTTAAAGAACAAAATGTGAGCGACTATAACGTTAGATTATCACTTGCTGCTTCCTTTCAAAATGGTCGTTAGCTGTATACGTATTGAATTGAGTTTATTGCGCAACAAGGTTGTAAGGAGACCAGGCAAAAAAGCTGCACAGAGCAGCTTGAGGGGAACCTTAAGAGAGTCTTCGTCATGCACACAGCACCAGCTTGTTACGCGAGGCAACAAATGACGCGAAAATGACCCATTGTGTAATGACCACTTATGCACGACCACGTCAAAAATAAGTGAATAAACTATTTTCGATACCGCATATTGTTTGCCATTAGTTCTTCGGAATTCAAAAATTTTTGTGTGCCACAAAATTGCCTGCTTGTTATATGATGTCACAAAGCCGGAGGCTATCTGCTTCTAAATGTAATTCAAGTAATCTAGCTGCCAACTACATAAGCAGCGGCTACATATAACAGTTGGCAAGATGGATTATGAGTTTAATAAAATATTTCCACATGCCGCATAACAGTGTTCAGTAGTTCGTGTGCGTATACATCTCTAGGAGCTCATACTTTCTGAGAGAAATAGAAATACAGAGAAATAAGCAGCGCTGCACGTGTGTGCTTTTTTGCTGTCCGAGATGTATTTTGAGCTGTAAAGGACAATTCAAGTTGAGTGAAAACCAACTAGCCCGATTCACAACTAAGCCTCCATAGTGCTAAAAACTACGGTATTTAACCTTCTCCCTTGTCTGGTGGGTCAAGTTGTGAGGCAAGCTTAAAAGCTGAGCTTTCTACTGAGCTTGAGTCAACTGCTTTATTCATGACCACTTTGCAAGCTGCCGCTATGGCTCCAAGATACCATAAGCAAGGCTGATCAGGTTTATCATAGACCAAAGTGGAAAGAATGTTCTGCCTTACAGTACGGGAAAACTTAAACATCAAGAACGATTCGTCGCACTGATTGGCTCACAACAGCTTTGACAGAGCAGCGGTGATGGTATATCCTTTTCTAAGAAAATTCTTTTCCGAAAGCAGCAAATGCTTTGATCGGTTCATAAACAGTTTCTCGTTCCCATAGGCAACTGCATCAACAAGTCACAGCAGAATAAAAGCATAAACAAGTGATGTAATAATATACGGCCCCTGTTCAGCGCTTGCCTGCTCTGCAGTACTACAGGACAAAACGTGAAAGCGTCGCACAGGCAACTTACACCACCAAGAGTTTAAAAAGAAAATCATCACAGTGGCAATGTTGGCGAAATTTCGCTCTGTTGTAACATTGCCTCGTAACACTTTTATTCTCCCGCAAGAACAAAATTGAATGATTACTGTTGTGACGAAGAACTTCGCCTTACTTGTTTCTCCAGCGTGCAGTCAAGAGTGACCATGGTGCACTGTCGAAAGTGCCACTTTCCCGGCAACTGGCTGCATCGTCCCATATGTTCGTGTGTGTTCCAGGAAAACATTCGCTAGTTCTTTTGACAGAAATAGATTTTGATAGTAGTTTTGATGTTGGAAATTTTGAGAGATACACGTAGTATGTTCACTCCCTTTTGAGACTCGCCGATTTACTGTAGTTGGGAAACGCTACTCTCTGGTGTTCAGCTACTCCAAATCAGTATTAGACAGCCCAACGCCGAAGTTTACTGACCTCCTCCGCCCTCCCCCCCCCGTTTTTTCGCCATGTTTTTATTTTAGTGCAAAAAAGCCAAAAATTACGCGACATCCCCCCTTTCCCTCTTCCCATTGCGGAAATTTCTCAGATTCAGAATCCTTGAACTTGGCACTTGGCAGGTATATATTGGCATCGACCTGACCAACTCTCCATTTCTGACAATAATTTGGTGTGAGTTGATATGGTCTCGTTTTCCAAAACTGCAGAGGGAATGAAATTTTACTGCATCAGACCACAAACTAACGAAATGAGAGACTCTTAGTGCTTTTCGGTGCTGGCTCCTTTCCTATTGTGCGAGCGGTGAAGCTAGTAGGCAAAAGTAAGCTATTGCAGTAAGCATGCTCTATATAGGTGGAATAAAAATTAGTTCATTTTAAAAAAATTTATAGTAAAAAATTTACAACATTGCGTGCCGCTATTAGTCCTTGAAAAACCTGTGATATGTCCTGGGAAGTCCTTGAATTTTCGCTTTGGAAAACTGTACGAACCCTGCTGCATGCATTATGCATGTGCCAGCACTAGCCTATGCTGGCTAAATGTTGGTTATTCACTCTTATAATAGCAACATTGTGTTCATTCAATGTTATTCCAATGAGTGGATTGTCCACCAGTGTTAAAGATTTGCTAGTTCTTAGTACACACAGTAGAAAATTTGTGCACGCCACAGAAGACAACAAAAAATATATATCAAGAAAAGCATTTTTTTTTTTCCAGAATTAGCAAGCCCTGCATTGCAGGGACACAAACCGGACATGCTTAACCCGCATTTTTCACTCATAATATGCGAGCTGATGGTTAGTCATTGAAACAGCCAAGTTTACTCAAATCCTCCTTGCCTGTGTTACTGCTCATTGATACTGCCTTACAAGGCAGTATCAATGAGTTAAGTTTCTAAGTTAAGCTTTCCTTCCTTGCTTTGAATGCCGAATGCTGCTCCTTTACAATCCCCGACTTATCGTAGAATGATTGACAAGCTGGACACCTCTGCCCTGGAACACACTTCAGGTGCAGCCAGGAAAGGGTTTGGGAAGTGGAGGGGCAAGCAAAATCTACTCCTAGTAGTTTTTCAGTTTATGCACATGACAATACATACGTATGCAGATGCATAAAAAGGGGTACAAAAAAAAAAGACATGACTGCACATGAAATTCTGGGCATTAAAAACATTGATCTCGGGCTCCAAAGCAAGCACTCCAATTTTAATTTAGCCACAATAAATGCTGCATTCAGTAGGAAGAACAGCTTACAAATCAAGACCTATTTTACAGAATGATTTGTGAGTTTACGCGCAACAAAAGTGGTGTAGTGTTTGAGCATACTTGTGAAACTGATAGGTGGATATCGTGAAGGCCATCACTGCATGCAGCTTTGTCGGGCAAGCTATTCTGTCAATCCATACCCCCCCCCCCCCCTCCATTAAACCAACTAGCTTAAATACCAGTCCTTACATCACACCCACATTGATTACTCCTTTAAGAAGAAGGTGAGGAGGCACCTATAAACCTAGACTTGAAAACCACCAATGGCCAAAATTTCCGAAGCCCTCTACTATGGCATCTCTGATAATCATATGGTGGTTTTGGGATATTAAACCACAGCAATTACTATGAGGCAGCCATGAAGAGGGAGGTTCTTCAGGAGTACAGCCATAAAGAAATACTGAACAAAACTTTAGAAAAACTGACAAATAAGTTCCATTCATTGCAATACCCTTGCAGTGAAACTGCATTTTTTAGCTATGAGCAGCCACCCATTTTTTAAAATGTGAACGCATGAACATCAACCGCGGAGTCGATAAGTGCCCTATAACGCAGCACGATGGTGAAATGAACGAGACTATGCACATGCACTTGATGAGCAGTCCAGTGTACCTGTCTTTTCTTTTCTAACTAGAATTGCCTGCTATATGTTAATGGTGCGGCCCGAGGGTTTTTTTAATGATGCGGGCCGAGGGGCGAGGCTGTTTGGAAACTGGACACCACAGCCGGTTCTTTTGAGCACTGTTACCATCATAGTTTTTTTTCTTTTATGAAGCTGCCACCAAGTTATATAAAAATCAGTTTCACCCCAGAGCGAAGCATTTGTCATATGACGATTCATTGTGAATGCAGTGACAAATAGGAAGTCAGAGTAGAGCCGGCCTGACAGAAACGAAGATCTCGCCGCAAGCACTGTAACAACCGCAGAAACTAGTTGTCCTCCTCTTCCTCACTACACCATTAAGGCGATAGCAACAAATTGCAATGTTATGTAAAGGCTGGCAGCTAAATCTACTGGATCCGATATCACGGAACACTACAGAACAATTTAGTGTAAGACAATGTGGCCACACCAGGGAGAGATGCTCTTTTCACAGTCTCTTCGTGGTGAAAGTGCTGCATGTAGAAGGGTTCATCATCCATTCGCACTAATGCCTGCCGAGATAGAAACTGCGCCCTTAGAATTAAAATGGACAGCTGCTGCTCGAGAGTGCACAGCCTTGATGAAACCTAAACTACAATCATGTTGGTAAAACTTAAAGCACTATGTTTCATTGGATAGGCTTCAGCGCGATTTAGATGAAGACTATAGGAGACACACAGAACACAAACGAGCACTGACTTACAACTGAGTTTATTTCCACTTGAACAAGCCTTTTCAAGCGCCAAAACCTGCCTGTATTATTCTATACACAGAAGAGCAAGATAAAAGACGATATAAACGGAACCCAAGATCTAGTATAAGCAAAAAGAAAAAAATATAACGATTCCTTTTCTAAGTAAAGCGTGCTTTGACACCCTGGGGAGGTGTTGTTTTGATTTACCTTGGTCCATTCCTGGGCATCTTTTTATTGCTTCTGCATGCTTTTGGTTATGTATAGCGCGGGTCTACCAGGAGCGCAAGAAGGTGTTTTTAGTAACTGACGCCGATATCTGTTCTCTAAGTTGTTATGTATTGTTGTTTTATTCTCATGTGCTTTTCGCGTTTTTTATTGCTTTTACTTTTAGACACTATCTTTACTTATCTTGGTCGGCTTTTATTTTGAAGGTGCCGTTTTTGGAGCATAAATCGCGTTCTGTCTTGGTTTCGAAGTTCAGTTTGCCTAGTGTGATATAAGTGTGCTTTATCTTCGATATTTGGTCTCGCGGTAAGCTTTTGTATTTTTTTTTCTTTTGCTTATAGATCTTTGATTCCGTTTATACCATCTGTTACCTTGCTTTTCTGTGTATAGGTTAATATGGCAAATTTTGGCGCATAAAAAGGCGTGTTCAAGTACGGTCGTCATCTAAATTGTGCTGAAGCCTATCTAATTATGTACCCACTCGCCCAAATCAAAGTGCTCTCGGACAATGTTTCAGCCACGTTTTTTGGCTTGATGGCTGTTACAACTTGTAGCTAATGCTGATAAACAAGTTTGATGCAACAGAGATGGTTTGGTAGAGGTAAAGCTTAGCACACAGTGGCCAAAATGATGCACCTGTCCCACTGCTGGTCCTGTCTTCTCATTTTCTCCTGGTGTATATAATACAGCAAAAGAACGATGCCATACTAACAAGCCACCGTCAAATTCTAATGATATGTACACAATGATCGATATTATGTACAGTCCCACTCATTATGAAAGGCTCATAGGCCACGAGCTGACATGTTCTAAGTATGGTAGAGAGCAACTATTCTCACTGCAAATACGAACGCGGTCTGCGGTCACCACAAAGAAACATTTGCACATAAAATGTATTTCATTATGTCACGAACTGGCACTGATTGCATCAGTCATTTGCATTTGCTATGCTAATTGGTAGCCATTGACAGTAGCCATAAACTAAAGCGAGCCGGCTTGTCCCTGATCCAGAGTGCCAGGTTCCCCAGCCACCTCTTGGGAACAGCCCTGCTGGTGGGCGTTCCAGTCCTTGCGCTGACAGAACGAGCTGCAGTAGCTGACCCGATGGCAACCCGTGCATTCCAACAAGGCTTCCCTGTTGCAGTTAGCACATATCTGTTAAAAAAAATAAAATAAAAATATAGAACATCTAATCTTTTTCAAAAAAACATTTCGAGTCCTTTAAAAAACAAAAACACAACAACAGTAGTTAATGCCTACAGCAAAAATAAACTTTATGCTGAATGGAAATGATATAGGTAATGTCATAACCTTAATAAAACCCAAAATGGCAAATATTGCAAGGCAAATCGAGCAAGTTGGCTTTCATAGTTTATTGAAGACGGGCAGGATCTTCCATCAAACACATGATGCTTGTTATATGCGTCTTGTGCACAATAGAAAATGTTGAAAAAAATTCCTAGACAAGATATAAATCTTTGTATATGGGTAATGCAGTAGCACAATGTGCACTTGTTTCAAGCTTGTCTGCACTTTTTTACAGATTGCTGCTTGCAACCGAATGTAGCAGTCATCTTCAGAAATCCGCTTCTGCGCATGATCGTGCATCGGCTCCCTTCAAGCACCTGCCTATTCCCCCCTGGATCAAATGGCCTGATACGGGAATCGCATCATCTATAGACAGAGTCACCTGACTTGCGTGACTTGGACTCTTGGGAGCCCATCCGTGCATGGTGTGCTACCTAAGCGTCACCAGCTGGCCACTTCTGGCCTGCTATAATGCCAACAACAAATGCTGTGCTCTGCAGTGGGTCTTGCGGCGACACAATGTGCACTTAGTTCAAGCTTGTCAGCACTGTTTTACAGGTAGGGCCAAAATATGACTTCCCTTGCTACGGGATTGACCATCGATGCATAGTGCTGCTGCCCGACCCACTTATGAAGGCATTATCATTTTTCTCGGTCAGTAGAATTTCGTTGCTATAATTCGGCGATATTGAAGGAGTCCTGGTCCTGACAAGTTAAACGAAAAACTGTCGCAGCTGCTCGAGAAACCAAAAAAAAAAAAAATTCATTCTGAACTCTCTTTATGGACAGCCAAGTTCGCTTCCAATGAATAAATGCTAAACAGGCTTGAGGTCTCGGTATTATCAGCAAAGAAAGCAATTCCACTTGTTGAACAACTTGAAAAAATGGTACCGTATTTACTCGATTCTACCGCGTCCTCGTTTGTAACGCGCGTTTGGTTTCCACGACGGAAAAAAACAAAACAAAAAAACTAAGACATCGATTGCAACGCGCACCCATTTTTCTCGTTGGTCCCTACGATCACACCACTCAGGAAAACGACTCCTTTCGAGAGCGTCTTCCGTTCAAATATGAGGTACGGGGGAAGCTTGTGCCTATCTGACGTGCAACGGAGCATTGCTGTCACTCTAGTTTTACCATGGCCCGATGTCAGCACACGAACTTGCTTCGCCCCCTTCTCCTCGACGGTTGTGGTGCCAGGCATGTCGAATTAAAGAGGCGTCTGATCGGCATTCCCGATTTTCCCAAGCAGGTAGCCGTTGTTGTGCCACAAGTTTAGGACAAACCTCTGAAGACTGTGAAGCTTTTCATCGTACTCCTCCACAAAACTTTTCGCATATGCATGTTCCCCTTCTGAGGAAAAAGCCTTTCCTCTTCATAAAGTTAGTTAGCCAGCACCTGCTTGCTTTAAACTGGCTCCGCATTAGACCTTGTTCTAAGACTAATTGCATAGCCCGCACTTGGAGCAGTTCTGTCGTCACGGGCCGCTGTGCCGCTCGCTGCTCAAGCACATACTCGCCGAGCAGCTCTTTACTTTGCGGAAACCGACCCTGCTGTGGTCCACTGAAGCCTTTGCGTGAATCTTTGCTGTCGACAATATTCTGCTTTTGTTTCCGCCAGTCCCACATGCATGTTTCGGGAACTCTGAACGACCGCGATGCCGCCCGATTTCCGTCCGTTTCGGCACACGCGATGACTTTTCTTTCAAAAGCGGCATTCTGGTGCACTCGTCAAGTTATTGGAGTCAGCCCTACCATGCCGTCGATGTTAATGCACTACAAGATGACGAACTCCTCAGCACACATACGAAGTGCCGCACATGGGAAACACATAGGCAAAAATGGCTGACGCGCCATGCCGACGCACGTAGGGGGCGGCCATTTTGGAAGTGCCGATGGCAATAGAATGACCGTATTCATTTTTTTTTCGTACTCGATTCTAACGCGCATGCGATTTATGAACTCACTTAACCGGAAAAAAGGTGTGCGTTAGATTCGAGTAATTACGGTAACTCATCTTGCTAACTTAGTGTTGAAGTTAGACAACCGTTGTGACGAACTTGAAGACAGGTCTCGTAGAAATAATATTATTTTCTATGGACTGCCTCAACATCATTCTGAGTCTCCAGGGCAGCTGCTTGATTTGTTCACGAGCCTCATGTCTGATAAACTTAGTCTTGAATGTTCTGATGAACTTGAAGACAGGTCTCGTAGAAATAATATTATTTTCTATGGACTGCCTCAACATCATTCTGAGTCTCCAGGGCAGCTGCTTGATTTGTTCACGAGCCTAATGTCTGATAAACTTAGTTTTGAATGTAACGACATTGAATGATGGTACAAGCTTGGGGTGCGTAGAGGGAGAAAGTACCCCCCCCTTCCCCCCACCTGCTATATTTATATTTTTGGACAACAGATCTAATATTGTCGTTTTAAACATATTTAATGTTCGAAAGCTAAAAGAAACACAAATACATGTAAACGAGGACTTCTCAGAACACGTTAAACAAGTATGCAGCACCGTTAGTAAACTTTCCCATAACAACAACAACAAAAAAAAATCCACCCCTCTTATCTGCTGTATTATTCCTTGCCGATAGATAATACACCTTATGTGTTAAGAGAAGCGGGCAACTCTATCATTCAAGCAATCTTCTCAGCCTTCTGGAACTCGACTCCACTCTGATAACTTTTCGTTAGCAAATGTTAATGCCCGTAGTATTCTTTCATCACTTCGTTGCAAGCCATCATCCTTTTGTTATATGCATAACAGAAACTTGGCTCAGAAATTTTACCACTAGGTTACAATGTTCTGTGAAAAAAACAGATGTGTGGTGGTGGAGTTGCGTTCTTTGAGAAAAAAAGACATTGAATTCATTATATTTCGCGATGTAACCAACTGTGAATCATTTCGGTGTGAAACTAGGATTTGTGGTCTCACGTTGATTACTGGAGCTGTCTATCATTCACCTGGCACGGGTTTCGGTACCTTTTCTGATCTCATGGATTGCATAGCCAAATAAAAATTAAATAGTTGTAAAATGATAATCACACGAGACTTCAATACCCCCTCCATAGACTTGAATACTCTATCAGCACATAGCCAACACAAAGTAACCTGTGGCTATTTGATTGACTTAACTATTTCTTTTGACTCGACACATGTTTTTTCTTCTGCAACCCACAAAAATGCAATTTTTGATCTTGTTATCATTAATGAACAAATAAAAAAATATGTCTATCATTGTCAGATTGTCGAAGGCCTGTCGAACCACAAGGGTGGTGAGTTGATTTTAAATTATTGACTATACCTAATTTTCGTTTGCACCAGACTGTTGTGAACTACGAGCATGCTGATGATAACCCTATAACTGTGATGCTTACATCCTCTTTTGACAAGTTTTTTAACAGCGCCAGCCATTACCAAGTCAATATACTAGTGAACCCTTTTAATGGAACTGTTGGCCGATGTATTGCTGTGATCATTCCAACAAAGTGTATAAAACGCCATCCCAAGCATTCCTGGTACACACACTCGTGACATTATACATCCGATTCATCGTATCAGGTGCTTTCGCAGACAGTCCACATCTGGCAGTCCAATAAAATCCTCTGTTACCTTAACTGAAAAGCAGTTTAAGATCTGCTATGTCAAGTGCAAATGTATTTTAATAATACTTTGTTGTCATTCATGAAAGACCAACTGCCAAAGCTTTGGAAAGCTACTAATTGCCCAAATCAGAGCTGTCCTTCCTCATTTATTATTTCCGATAAACCATGATAATCTTAGCATTTCTGAAGCATTTAATGACTATTTCAAATCATTGTTCACACGTGATGATAGACGCAGCCCCACATTTTTCATGAACTAATCACCACCACCATTCGGTCGTTCGTAACCTTGTACTCAAAATCGATACAACGAAAAGTGCAGGACCAGATGGTATACCTAATATGTTTTTGAAACGTTATCCTGAATGGACCTCTCGTTATTTATCAGTCATTTTTTCAAAGTCTGTTGAGTCATCTATAGTCCCATTACTCTGGAAGTGCACCAATGTCGTTTCCATACATAAGGATGGCAATAAACAGGTGGTGTGCAACTATAGGCCAATTTCATTAATATCAATGTCCTGTAAACTACAGGAACACATCATCTATAAATATATCCCTGAGTACTTGTCTGAACAAAATATTCTCCCACATGCTCAACATGGCTTTCGTTCTGGCTTTTTGACGGTGACACAATTATAGGATTCACTCACTAAATTGCATCTACACATAAAGCTAGAGGACAGCTTGATTCCACCTTCATTGCCTACAGGAAAGCCTTTGATACAGTATGTCATCATAAGCTTCTCATTAAACTCAAGATACTAATTTATTACACTAAACTTGCAGACTGGATTCAGAACTATCTGAGCTTAAGAACACAATTCGTAGCATTTAATCGTGCTCACTTATCTCAGGTCAGTGTTACATCTGGTGTACTACAAGAATCTGTACTGAGTCCATTACTCTTCATCGTCTATATAAACGACGTTGTTAAGGTAACTGCTGGGACTTCTGTTAAATTGAGACTTTATCCTGATGACTGTGACATATATTCTGACGTGGCTGGCACTCAGAATCAGTTGCAGTTAAAACATATTGGCCATTTTTGCAAGTAAAGCAAGGTGATGTCATTGAAACTATAAAAAAATAACTGTCTCAATGACTTTCTCAAATAAAAAGCACCCGCTAAAGTTTTCATATTTCAGTTGTAACCACAAGCTCGTAACTATAGACACTTTCAAATACTTCAGTGTTACGTGATGTTACGTTTGGCCCGGCAATTCGTCTGGGCAG